GACTCCTCAGCAGTGCGCATCCACGACCTCGCCCCCTGCGAGATTCGAACCCAGGACCTACTGGTTTCGCGCGCGAGCACTTAACCACTAGACCACTGAGCCGGCATCCAACGGTGTTAATGTCTAACTTCAACTAATCCACGAAATCGAGCGACACATCCACCATTGTCTTCAGTGAGTTACTATCCCACAACAGACCTGGTTGAACTCCACTGGTCACTACTTCTCACTAGAACTCCAGGATATACCTCTTGAAGCCAGTCACTAGTGAGCATATGTTGATTATTATATATATATATTTTTGTACATGTTTAACTGTTGTTTGTATGCAATTTGGCAGGAATATCTTCTAGTTTAGATGGAAATTTAAGTGGATTCAACAAATCATATCGCATTAAAACAATAACAATAATAATAATAATAACAATATTGGTAACACAGAAAATTTATGTGCATACCAGTTAATGTCCGTGATCAAATAAAGTGATTTATGTATATATGTATAAACCAATAATGAATGACAATAAATTAAAATGAAACATCATATATGGGAATAGGGAATATCAATATTAATAAGAATAATAATAATAATATAAATATTTTTGTATCTACCTGTTTCCATTTATTTATTCAGTTTTCTTTTACATTAAAAATTATCATCTGAATTATTAGGTCATGATTAATTAAGTTTAATTTACTTTATAGAAAGTAAAAAAAGTATATGTATATATATAGAAGCAAAGATGAATAGTGTCTAGCAGTGTAATCCAAAACATGCGTTTCATCCTATTTAGAACTCATCAGCTAAATGTATCTACATCTAAGAGTTGATGTTCACTCCGTGACTTGAAATCAATATCATTCACTACAAACTCCATTATGTTATTCATACAACTATTGAATTCATCTTTACTTATAATGCTTGTGAATGAAGGCAATATCAAGACAGTATGTAATATATACCAATAAGAAACTGATCAATTACAGTCCTAAACATTAATTGAAAGATTCATATAAACAATACCAAGTGAATTTATGTATATATATTTTTAATATTAAACAATCATAAATAATTAATCCAACATAATCTATGCATTTATCCAAAATATCCAATTATTTTGTATACTTTTTCAATTGGATAATATAATATCATAAATAGTTGATGTTTTCTTTTCTTTTCTTTTCTTTTTTTCTGTTCCTCATTTTCATAATAGGAAAAAAAATTATATTTTGACAAATACATTTTGTTTTTGTTTTCGAAATATTAAAACAAAACAAAACAATAATACAGTTACCTCCTCGTAAATCAAATTCAAATCTCTTTAGATGACAATGAATGATTCTTATTGCTTTACTTAGTCATTACATGTCTTCTATATTTATTTAGTTAATAGAAGATTATTCAATATGATTTCAAAGGGATATGATTATTTTCATAAGAATTAAATAAAGTATGTAATCAATATTTTCATGAATTAATTGATTCATTCATTCATTCAATTAATTTCTATGACATGAGGTATTCTTTAATTTATTACTATACCATAAAATAATGATTTTTTTATTTATGTATCTAATTCAATTAAAGTCTCCACTTGATGTTTCCACTTTGAAAAAAAATATAAGTTCATCAAATTAAACTGTTGTGAGATAGTAACTCACTGATGACAATGGTGGATGTGTCGCTCGATTTCGTGGATCAGTTGAAGTTATGCTGATAGGCCCTGGGCTTGAATCTCGCTGGGGGGGCGAGATCGTGGATGCGTAGTGCTGAGGAGTCCCACAATAGGACGAAATGGCTGTCCAGTACTTCCAAATTTTCCATGGTGATCTAGCTTCAAATGACTCATGATCTCAACCACTGTAGTAAACTTTATATCTAATAGTATAAACTTGATGTTTTTTTTGCCCTAGAATAATAACTATGAAACAATAAATCACAATTGGTTTGTTTCTATTCTAATTATCATTGAAATGTAAACAAAATTGGTAATCAATGATAAAATATTAATAATGAATTCAATGAAGTTATAATTGATACTAATGATATCCAGTTAAGAAAATATTAGGTAATTCGTTGACAACTATATACATTATATTTGAATTTATACAGTTGAATGAAACAAGTTTAAGTCTATATTAATCAAAATTTAACCTATAATGATCAATCTGATTAAGATGTTTTAAAAAAAAGTAGGAGGTAACCATAGAAGATAATGGAAGATGATTACGCAATATATTGGATTAACTGAATTTTGACAATTATGTCACTTAATAACGGTTCAGGGATTTAGAGGGTAAGTGTTCACACGCAACATTAAAGGTCTTGGGTTCAGTTTTTAGTGACGAGGTTATGCATACATACCATTGAGAATTCTCAAACTACAACAAGACGGCCATCCAGTTCTTTCAACTTTTCATTGATTACCTCCAAATGCCTTAGTTCGACCGAGAGTGGGAAGAGTCTACTTTCCCTCTCGAAATGCTCTCCATGGTCACGCGTATACAGTCACTACCAGGAAAGTCCTACTCACTGCCTCCTCGTGATGTGGGTTTTGTTTACGAAATTGAGAGGACGGAAAGCGAATGTCCGTCACTTTAATTGGGTTTGTGGACACCGTGGGTACACCTAGAGGAGTTGAAAGACCCTGATTCCAAACCAATGGTGCACATGGGCTCCAGATACTAAGGGATCAAATAGCCTATGAACAAATCGTTTGTCATCGGCTACCATGAGATTGCATCTCCTTACGTTGGTCTACTGCCTTGTGGATCAGACCTTTAGGTCAAAGGCTCCGAGTATGGACTCCTAATAAAACCACCTGCCTCGGTCTGGGCACCCACGTAGTGTCACAACCTACAAACAAATCAAGTGACTTGCGTGGCATATATGTATTCGATGCCCCTTCGTACCAATATTTATGTGTTCAAATAAATAAATAAAACTGGATTGATTTGTAATTTCCACAGTACCCATACTAATACTCGATAAATCCTCTATTGAAAAATATTTTCTTTGGTGAATTCACTATGATTTCTTAATGTCTACTGTTATATTTCGCAGAAAATAGTATCCTTCAATCATGAAATAGTAGGTCATCATACTCAGCAACATCCACAATAGCTGTACAAATATCAATAAAGACAAATATCATGTTTGTTTGATCCTTAGTGTTGATTGAATCATATGTCTCAAGCAACAATATGGTAACTAGTTTAAATGGTTAAACATCTGTTGGACTATCTGAAGATGCTGAGTGTCTGGAGATAATCAGTAGGAAAACACAAGATGGGATAGAGTATCTCAGGGAGAATGAGTTCTCTCAATATAAAGGTACCCCTTACTGATGAATGTCGTAGAGAGTACAATTTAATATTTCAAATATTATTGTAAACCTTGTTTAAAACGAATACATAATTAAAGAAGTTGACTATCAAATTACTAACCGTCATTCTTTACAGTATATTTAATACATGAATAGCAGTGGAACCCAGTATATACGTTTATTCCTATATGATACTTGTCAGCTAAATGTTTCTACGTTCGAATTCGATGCTTACATTGAGAGATCGGCCAATTGCAACCCAGAAATACTGACTACGTGAATTTATAAATCATTTCTTGATAGTTAAACAAACGAAAAGAGGGAAAGTTTGGAACTTGAAACCTACTCACTCAATAAACACTCAATAACAGATGATGTGGAATAAACCATTTCTGAGCAGTTCGTCGTATGATATTTGACTTGAACATGACTGAGTTTACTGGTTTTTATCTTATCAAACAATATGATTACCTCAGAGGAAATTTTATAATCATTAACAATAAATTAACCACTGAACGCAGTCTACAGTTTGATTTCACGTAATTTACAAATAATTGTTCATTCTCGTATTCTAAATGTCAACTACTATTTATTTTTTATGACTGAGATCATAAATCGACTGATGTTAGACCACCGTTGGAAACCTGGAAGCACTGGACGGCCGTTTCGTTCTAGTATGGAACTCCTAAGCAGTGCACATCCACGATCCCGCTCGCGGGATTCGAACCCAGGGCCTTCAGTCTCGCGCGCGAACACTTAACATACTGGACCACTGAACCGGCATCCAATGGCGTTAGTGTCTGACATCAACCAATCCACAAAATTGAGCGACCATCTTCCATTGTACTGAGGTAGATACTATACACTAACACATGATCTCAGTCAAAAAATTAATAATCTTCATAACCCCAATACTGATACTATTTATTTCATAGTTTGTATTACAGACTGACCTTAGTTGGATAACCATTAAAAACTAGAAAGCACTAGCATGCTGTTTCAATAAGGTATAGGGCTGCATAACAGCATGAAACTACATCCTCGCCGGTATGATTGAACCCATGACCTTCAGGTCCCATAGTTAAATACTATAAAAAGATTAACTTATTGTAAGCCCATATTTATGAGGAACATGTACAGAAATCCGTTTAAAAGTTTTCCCTCCAATACTTCTTATACGCAAACTTAAATATAAATGTATAAAATCTGTGATTTAAACATGAGTACTCATAGTTCTAAACTGATTCAGTATACAAATAGTGATATTTACTAAGTTTAATTTCACAAAAAACTTCATTGACGAATTCAATTTTTATTTTGCGCTCAATTACCTTGTGATAAATGACAATTTAAAAAAATCTAAATCTAATATACGGTTGTAATTAAAAATTTGAGTTGCATTTTGTTCCATATACATATATATATATATATACATACGATATAAGTGTTTGATATTATCACTCTCAAAGCTAAATTATTTCCCTATTTAAGAAATGGATAAACGAATACCATGATTAACCAATCAGCAAACAGACCGTTGATTGACTGAAATTTGATTGGTTAATCTACTATAATTCCGTTTATTTTTCCTGTAAATTATAATAAATATGTTTATTGATAAATATCAGATAGAATGTGTTTATACAGTAAATAAATTATTAATCCAAAGTGTGTGTGTGCGTGCGTGTGAGTGAGTGAGTGAGTGTATATACATATATATTTACCATGAGAACAGTTTAATGAATACTATTTAGTAAGAAACAAAATAACAAACAATTTGTTTATTTATTCATGTAATTATTATAAATAAAAGTTAATAAATGCAAACAGCTAATTACTTAACAGATATTTCATGTAATCTATCAGAAATAGACTGTAATCTATCTACGACATCATCTTCAACAACAACAGACAAATTGAATTCATCATCATCTTCATCATCATTTTTAATTACAGATATTTTAGCTTCTAATAATGAAATTGTACATTTAACAAATGATAATCAGTCTACTGATGAAATGATTTCAGTACAAAACCAAAATCGACAACAGTATGACAATGAAAATGTTAAACGGTTTCAATATGATAATGATATATCAATGAAATTATTTACCGATTATCATGACGATAATAATAATAATAATAATCTTCATACTAATATTGACAATATTCATGTATGGCAATTATTATTTGAATCATTATTGACTAATTCATCATTAAATATAGAACAATTAGAATCTTTATTATCATTAACACGAATGTCACAAAATGAATTTTCTAATCTATTTAAAGAGAAAATACAAACAAGTCATCTACATCAAGAAACATTTCAATATTTACCATTTGAATTATCACAACAATATCAACAATTAAATGAAAGTATTAGATCTAAATCCCCTATTAATCTAAATGATATTCATTCATTGAAACAATTATCTCAGGAAATTTGGCGATCATTTCAAGAAACATCAATAAATAATAATAATAATGATGATCTTAAGGAAATAGAAAATCATTCTATAACAAATTATAATGAACAACAATTAAATCATCAAAATAAATTCAAATTATTCTTGACAAAATCATATGAACAATATTGCCGCCAGACAATGAATCATTTAAAACAAACTGAAAATTCAATTATCAATACTGATAATAAAAATAATAATGATAATAGCACCGATGATATTCACTTTAAAAATAAAACTAAAAAAAGAGAAGAAAAGCAAGAAAATAATTGTAGTCAAGAGGGAGATTTAAACATATCAAATTTAGATAATGTTCATTTAAAACATTTGACAAAAATTGACAAAATAAAAACTTATCAAATATGGTTTAATTCAATAAATTGTTTAAATATACGACAAAAATTATATAATTTATATAAAACTAATTATTTAATGAAAAATTATTGTCAAGATGTGGAAAATTTTAAAATGAATGAAAATTATTCATTGAAAAGTACCAATATTGTAAATAATACTAATAATAATACTAATACTACTAATAGTAGTAATGATAGTAGTAATAATAGTAATGCTAGTATGATTAATAATAATGATAATGATAATAATAATAATAGTGATATTATTGATTCAAGTAATATTAATAATTTATCGATACCTTCAAATTCTGCATTAGATGCTTTAATTCACATGACCACATCTACAATGCAACAATTAAAACATGATGGTGATTTCTCAGGTAATTATTTAAATTATTTTTTTTCACTGGTTGATATCATGAGTTAATTGAAGCTAGACCACCATGGAAAACCTGTAAGCACTGGACGGCCGTTTCGTTTTAGTATGGGATTCCTCAACAGTGCGCATCCGCGACGAAACGGCCGTCCAGTGCTTCGAGGTATTCCATGGTGGTCTAGCTTCAATTGATTCATGATTTCAACCAGTAAAATTTCTAAAATCTCCAAAAAACCCCTTCTGATAATTTTTTTCCATTATAAATAATCATTCAATTATAATATTATGTTCAAATTATAGATATATCTTATTGAAGAATATAAAATAGTACCAATTCTAGATGACGTGATGTAACCTGCCGACTAAATCCGACTGATTAATATGGAAATATGTTCCACGAAATGTTAAGTCAGTTAGACTAGAGATAACACAATATGTTGATTGATACAATTCGATCAGTGCTAAAGGATTAGGCAAACATACTATTAATATAATTATCAATTTTTGTAAAATCCAAATGAGCAGAAATTTGAGCTTATGATGTTAAATTGACTGTTTAGGATAAATAAACAAATAATCGAATTAAATTAAAACAAATTTAAACAGCAAAAGTAACATTAAATTCAATCATCTGAAGAATTGGCCTATTTTTAATGGTTGAATAAATGAGTCGATCTAAACTAGATCACCATTGAAAACATGGAAGCACTAGATTACCATTTCATCCTAGTACAGGCATCCTCATCAGTTAGACATTGACATCGTTGGGTGCCAGCTCAGTGGTTTAGAGGTTGAGCATTCATGAGTGAGTCCGAAGATCTTGAGTTCGAGTCCAATGTGAAAGATTATGGATGAGTACTACTGAATAGTCCCATAATAAAGCGAAACGATCACTCAGTGCATTCAGGTTTTCAATGTTGGTCTAGCTTAGATCGATTCATGAATCCAATTATTAAAATTACTACAATCTCCACAGATCCCCAAAATTTCAGTAGTATTTACTTATCGCATTATATATATATATATATATATATATATATATATATATATATATATATATATATATATATATATATATATAAGGCTTGTATGTAAGAATGATAGGTGAAGTTCTACTATTTAGTATAATACTACTTATTAAGTGAACTTTGATTTTTAATGATTACTTAAGTTGGTGACTAAAATTAGTTTTTTCGGCAACATTCAGCAAATTAAATTAAATATACAAATGATTATGACGTATTGTATATCAATATTTAGTTGTTACATTTGTCAAAAGAATAGTTTGTCATTAAAATTTCAATGTTTGATGAATAATAAGTAGATATGATGTGAATTTTTAGTCTACGATCTATCATCAATAGTGATTTAAATATCATCTATGTAGAAAATATCAAGTTCTAACTGAGATAGCTACATTCATACCAATTTGATATACCATGTTAATTAGAAATCTTTTTAAATTCTCATTTATCTTTTATTTAATCATGAGTAATGATTGTTAGAATGACAGTGATAAACATTTCTAACCGTACACAAATAGTTATATTACTTACTTACTTACTTACTTACTTACGCCTGTTACTCCCAATGGAGCATAGGCCGCCGACCAGCATTCTCCAACCCACTCTGTCCTGGGCCTTCTTTTCTAGTTCCATCCAATTCTTGTTCATTTTTCTCATATCTATCTCCATTTCCCGGCGTAATGTATTCTTTCGTCTTCCTCTCCTCCTTCGACCTTGAGGATTCCATATGAGGGCTTGTCTTGTGACGCAGTTGGGTGTTTTCCTCAATGTGTGTCCTATCCACTTCCAGCGCTTCGTCCTGATTTCTTCCTCCACTTGGATCTGATTTGTTCTCTCCCACAGTAGGTTGTTGCTTATAGTGTCCGGCCAGCGGATCTGAAGTATTTTGCGTAGACAACTGTTAATAAACACCTGTATCTTTTGGACGATGGATTTCGTAGTTTTCCAGGGTTCCGCGCCATACAGTAGAACAAATAGTTATATACAGCCCACAAATGACCTGGTACAGCTAAAGGTGGGGAGATTCATTTCTGCTTCTTGAAATGCTATCGTATATACAGTCACTGTAGTGAGGATATTATTCATGAAATAAAGAGGACGAAAAGTGAATATTCGGCACCCTAACAGAGTTGATGGATATGGAGGATCCACCTAAGGGAGTTTGATGGGCGGTCTATACTTCTCCACGAGGAGTAACAGGAGTCAGTAATTAATTAATTAATTAATCTAAGAAAGTTGAAAGACGTTAATTCCAAAACAATGGTGCACATAGACTCCAGGATCCTGAGGGGATAAATAGCGTATGAACATACTGTCGTCATCTGTTATAATGGGACTGTATCTCTTAACTCTGTTCCACTGCCTTGTGAACTAGACCTCTAGGTCAAAGGCTCCAGGAGTGGCTTTCTATGAAAACCACCTGTATCATTTGAGGTACCCGAACAATATTCCAGCTCGCATACATATCAAATGAATTGTGTGATGTATATATATTTGGTGCCTCGTAGTACCAATGTTTATTTGTCTAAATAAATAAAAATAAAATGTATACACAGCAAAAATCATAAAATGTCTAACATCAGTTTATGTGGAATTTATCAGATCTTTTTTAATCTCAGTTCAAATGTCTAATCAAATAATCCCTTTAACAGAATCCCCTAAAAATGTTATGCTTATTATGTGTTACTAGTTGAAATCACGAGTCAGTTGAAGCTAGACCACCATGGAAAGCCTGGAAGCACTGGACGTCCGTTTCGCCATAGTATGGGACTTCTTGGTACTATCCACCCACGATCTTTCCCAAGGGATTCAAGCCCGGGACCCTCGGTCTCACACGGGAAAGCCTAACCTCTAGACCACTAAGCCAACCGGCATCTAATGGTATTAATATCTAATTTCAACCAATCCACAAAATTGCGCCAATGTCCATTATATTCTTCAGTGATTTACTATCTCACAACAGACCCCGTTGAACTCCACTGGTCACGGCTTCTCACTAGAACTCCAAGAAATACCTCTTGGAGACCGTCACTCTTCCAGTCTTGGGATCTCAATTAACCATTGAAAGGCTCCTGATGAACTATCTGTTCTGTACCATTGATTAAATAACTAATTTGATCATCGAACAGGATTGATTCTTAAAATTCCGTACTAACTACTATATTATTTGTTGATACCTTATATGTGGACTTTTGAAATTTGTTTTACTCTAACATTCTAATTTACATTCATTAGAACTCATCAAGATAATTATCATAATTTAAATCATGGTAAATTTATTTATTCTATAATTTGATTCAAATGATATACTACTCCGCCTAATTCATAATTTAAATCTTCTAATAGAAATATTGAATTAACTGATGTTTTGTATTGTGTTTAAATAGCTCACTGTTTGCTTACTGTAAGGAATCTATGTTTAGTATAGGAAAATGTCAATCATTACTTCATTTGAAAGGGTTTTGTGGAGGTATTGCATTTAATTCTTGGTTATATTCTCCACGAACCTGTTTCATTTGAAGTATCTTCTAAAGCTAAGGAGACCTAGATAGCTGTATGCATGAGTGATGGGACTGTAGTCAAATCCAGGAAATTTAAGTATCGCAGTGAGATGCCATAATTATCAGAGTTTAACCACATTGGGATTACGGCAGTTACACATAAACAGTAGTGAAAAATAGATATACACTTCTGTGAATTTATTCGAATTAGAAATAAAAACCACTGTATACTAAATTATAAGTTAATCGAAACCTGAATATCTTTGATTCAACCTTCAGTGTGGTTGCTGGCATCCACTACTGAAGGAACTAATACTAAAATAAGTCATCTTTCCTGTGCTTCCTGCTTTCTAACAGTTGTGTAACTTAGGTCAGCCTATAATTTAAACCCTAAAAGTTATTGTATGTAGTTCAATGTTTTATTTATGTACTGTTATTAGTTAAATACGTGATATATAATCCTGTATAGTATATATTGAAGGGGTTTATAGTCAGTTTCCAGTTCACTAATCAATGCATGAACAATACAGTATTCTATTTTAGAATAACATATATTTCATACACTCCTAATCATCAAAGTAAATTTTCAGTATGTCATCAAATCTAGACAATGTGTATAATATATTGAATATCCTCAACAAACAAGAAATTGTCTTCATAATTATTCAACTGTCTATTTTGTTGATGAATAATACAGTTTTTCTTCATAATTCCTAGGTTGTCAGTAGTTAAGATGATTGGTTGTCAATTCATTCAAATAAATTACCCATTGTAAATTTATTCTAACACATTCAATTTCATGCAGAGTGAAGCTTCGATTCATCTATCTATCTATCTATCTATCTACCCATATATATGTATGCAATACAATCATACACATGAATGAACATTACGCTAATCAAGAGTTAAGATGATTTTTTTTTCATTTCATGGATGTAATTTATTTGGATTGAATTATAACACAACCTAATAATATATTTTGAAGGGAAACACTTTGATTGTTTGGTGCTTTGTCTCATTAGTCTTGGTTACTAAACATGTTCAATAATTTATATTTCATTATCGTATAGAATGCGTTACAAATTGTTTTAATTATCATTATACAATTATATTTTAACATTTGAAAATAACTTCTATCATATATTATTATTATCATAATAATAACTAAAATTAATCAGAAATTACTTGATAACATTTTTCTAAATATAGAACTACTTAGTTGTCATCTCATTGCACAAGTTAGTAGCTATCAGAGCACAATAGTTAAGTGGATAACGAGATGGCGTTTGAAGCAAATGGTACTGGGTTTGAATCTCTCAGTGAACATCCACTCTAGGATACAAGTATATCCAGCTGAAGAGTCCCCAATGGGACGAAATGCGCGTCCTGGATTTAACTGTTAGTCACTATTTATCTTTGCTATTCATTAATAGTTATACATAATATTATCATTCAATGGAACATAGAACACAATTAAG